AGTCTTTACTGTTTTACATATGATGTCTGTCATTCAATCAAAAAGTATGACACACACACATGCATAAAAAGTACAGAAAAACTTATAAAAGGTGTATTAAGATGAAGCAATCAACAGAACAAAATTCATATGACCTAGATGGTGAAACCAGCAGAAAAATTTAAATACTATAATTAATCTGTTAAAGTCTCTAATGGAAAAGATAGACAATATATGTGAGAAGATGAGTGCTTTTAGGTGAGAAGATGGAAACTAACAGCTAATGGAAATACTAAATACAAACTAAATAGTAATGAACATGAAGAATGCCTTTGACAGGCTTATCTGAGGCCTTAATGCAACTAAGGAATGAGTCAGTAAATTTGAAGATGTAAAAATAAAAATTACCTAAACTGAAACACAAAGAGAGATTGGAGGAGGGAAAAAATAGAGCATTTGAGAGCTCTGAGAGAATATCAAACAGTCTAACATATGTGGTAACATATATATTGTGGATTTACATATGTAAAAATAAAATGTATGATGATAGCAGAAAAGATGGGATGGAGGAATTAAAGTGTTTTAAGTTTTACACATGACAAGTGAAGCAGAATTACAATATCTGAGTATTTAAATATATATATATATTTTTTAGTAAATCATAGGGAAATCACTAAAAAATTAGAGGTATAAATAATAAGCTGATAATGAAAATAAAATGGCATCACAAAAAATAATCAAAAAGAAAAAGAGAAAAATGAATATACAACAGATGCAACAAATATTTTAAAATTTGCAAAATTGTAGATATCAATCCATACAAACCCATAATGATATATAAATGTAAATAGTATAAACACACCAGTTAAAGGATGGTGATTGTCAGATTGAATAAAAATGCAGCACCCAACTATATGCTATCTACAGACAATCCAATTTAAATATAAAAGATTAAAAGTAAAAGCATGGAGAAAGATATATAAACATTAGTTAAATAAAAACTGGAGTGCCTATATTAATATCAAAAAGACTTCAGAAAAAAGAATATTATCACAGAAAAAGAGGGTCATTTCAAAATGTTAATGTCAAAATGTTTTTAGGACCTAATAATCCTAAAGATGTATACATCTAACAATAGAGCTTTAAAATATACATAGCAAAAAAAAAAAACTGAAAAGAGAAATAAGCAAATCCACAGTTATTCTTGGCTACTTCAACACTCCTCTCAGTAATTGATAACGCATTTATCAATTGATAAAGCAGTTACTGAGAGGAGTGTTGAGGATATAGAAAGCCTGAACAGCATTCTCAGTCATCTTGTTTTTTTTTTTTTTTCAGTCATCTTGAACAGCGTTCTCAGTCACCTTGACCTTGTTGAACACCTCACCCCAAACACCAGTTTATATATTCTTTTCAAGAACATATGAAACATTCATCAGAACAGACTGTATTCTGAACAATAAAACAAACCTCAATTAAAAATATTTGAAGTCATACAAAGTATGTTCTCTGACCATAATGGAATTAAACCAGAAATCAATAACAAAAGACATCTGGACAATTTGAACCGTTGAGAAAGTTAACAAAACGCTCTTAAATAATTCATGGGTCAAAGAAGTCTTTGACTATTTTTAATTGAACAATTGAGAATTACAACACATCAAAATCCATGGGAGGCAGCTACAGCTAGGCTTAGAGAGAATTATGTTATACATTCGTATTTGAAAAGAAGACGTCCCCCCCTTTTTTTTTTTTTGGCCACACCACGTGGCATGTGGGATCTTACATGATCCCCTATAATAGAAACTTTGAGTTTTAACCCCAGTGTGTGTGTCTTAGTCACTCAGTCGTGTCCAACTATGCAATTCTATGGACTGTAGCCCACCAGACTCCTCTGTCCGTGGAATTCTCCAGGCAAGAATACTGGAGCAAGTAGCCATTCCCTTCTCCAGGGGATCTTCCCAACCCAGGGATCAAACCCAGGTCTCCTGCACTGCAGGCAGATTCTTTACTGTCGGAGCTGCCAGGGAAGCCCTTTAAAACTCTGACCTCCAGGGAATTCCCAAGAAGGATGGTCTTAAAAATTTAAGTTTTCACCTTATAAAACTATAAAATTAAGAGCAAATTAAGCCCAAAACAAACAGAGAAGAAAATAATGATAGTAAGAGCAGAAAAGAATGGACTTGTAAATTTAACAAAATAGAAATGATAAAACCAAAAGTTCACTCTTTGAAAATATAAATAAAATTGAGTTACAGCTGGTAGAGCTTTCTCCTGTGTGCATAACAGTAATACAATTTCAATAATTTGTTCGTTTAACAAATTTATTTATCACTATATGCCAAGTACTATTTTAAATGCTTGGAGAACACCAGTGTTCAAAATAACAGCAACAAATTTTTGGAGAGTACTTGGTGAAGTTGTTAGAATAATGGGATTAAATGCAAATAGTAGTTGCATCCTGATTTCAAAATGTTTTGTACTGTACACACCCTGTCAACAGTTTTACTTTTGTAATAACTGAGTTTATAAGACTCCCAAAAGACAGAAACATAGTCTTCTCCCTACACACACACATTCACTCACACTCACATAAGTCCTCTTCTGATGTTAGAGAACAAATTTGAGTCTAAGGTGAGGTCTAAAAGCCTATTAAGATTATCTATTTGCTATTCATCTCTGCATTTCAGTTTGGGAGGTTTCTATTGATGCATGTTTCAGCTCACTGATTCTCTTTTCAGTGGTGTCCACTCTACTGATATCCTATTAAAGGCATTGTTCATTTGTTACAGTGTATTTGATTTCTACAATTTCTTTTGGATTCTTAAGAGTTTTCATTTCTCTGCTTAAATTACTCTTTCATTTGTGTGTTGTCCACTTTTTCTGTCAGATCCTTTAGTATATTAATCGTAGTTATTTTAAATTCTTGTTTAATCCCAAATGTGTGTGATGGCTGAGTCTAATTCTGATGCTTACTTTGCTTTTCAGAGTGTACTTTCCCTTCCCTCTTAACAGTCTGCCGTTAGCCTTCTAATTTGTTGTTGAAAGCTGGACATAGTGTATCGGGTAACAGGGACTGAGGTAAGCAGAGCTTTGGAGTGCGATTCCTTTATTATACGGCTGTGAGTTAGACTGTGTTTAATTTTGCTATAGCTGTAGGTTCCAGAGGCTTCAAATCCCTCTCATGTTTTTGTCTCCTGTTGTCTTTGGATTCCCTACAAATCCATTGTTAGACAGAGGGGGCGTTTTCATGTATTTGTGGGGAGGATGGCGATCTTCCTGTCTTACTCCTCTGCCATCTTACTCCTCTGCCATCTTACTCCTCCGCCATCTTCTGTCTCCCAGAGTGAGTGTTTTGGAGGACTTCAGCTGTAGTCAGCTGTTACACACTGGAGCATTGTTGGTGTGGTGATAAAATGTGGGAAAGGGGAAGCATTCTGTGGTTTTATGATTAAATCTCTCAGTAGAGCTGTGTCCCTGGGCTATGACCTTCACAAATATTTCTTAGATCCCATTTTCTCCCCTTAGATGAGACAGGAAGGCTGGAGGAGGCTGGAGGCAGAGAAATATCCTTGCCCCAGGTGAAATAAGGTGCTGGTGAAATCTTTTCCTCTGGAAAGTAGGTCTTTATTGCAGAGAAGGCTCTAGACATACTTCCAGAGGGTTGGATATTAAACTGTGAAATGCTTCTTCTCAATCCCGTTAGAGCCATGGGAACCCATTCTTGGTTTTTCATTGTGAGAACCTGCTGAGATTACTGGAGGCAAAACCTACGGAAGTGTGGGGACCTCTCTAATACTGTAGTCCCCACTACTTTCACTGACTTTAGTTCATACTCAGTCTCTAGAAATCCATAAAAATTAAAATTTAATTATTCCTAATTCATGGCTTCAGGGGCTCCTGATCCAGATAAGCAGGTCTTGACTGTGACTCTCTGTATTTACCTCTCTGAAGATTTCAGGGTGATGGGTTGCCCTCTGACCTCAGCTGTATGATGAATGCAAGAAAAGTTATTAGTTTCAAGTTTACCCAGCTTTATGTGGTAGTCAGGAGGGAAGTGAAAACTTTCAAGTTTTTATATTTTGGAGCTTAAACTACAAGTCTTAATATTTAAGCAGACATTGCTATACAAGAGGGACTTTAATTTGATAGCACAGACTAAGTCAAGTTCACACACTACCTACCTTAAATTTTTTTTTAATTTTAGTTTTGACATGATTTCTATAAATGTCATCTCTAAAACCAATATATTTGACTAATTTCACTGACCCATTCCTGTTCTTAAGTTCTTCCATTTAAAACAGACGTCACTAACTTGCCAGTAAAATAAACCTGACCAACATCCTGCCATTATATATCTGCTCTCTCATTGGTTCCTGGAATGAGATCCATGTGGCCCATGTTTTTACAGCTTCTGTGGGCCACCCACAGTGGTTATTAATCAATAATTATGCACCGTGACCGTGCCTCCCATTGCTGAGGACCTAGGCGGTCATCAGCCCTGTACAACATGCACTGAGGTTGTAACATGTTCTGTGGAAGGAAAGTGCCTTTGGTCTCATGTCTTACATAGGTGCTTTAGTTGCTCAGTCGTGTCCGACTCTTTGCGACCCTAACGATTGAAGCCCACCAGGCTCCTATGCCCATGAGGATTCTCCAGGCAAGAATACTGGAGTGGGTTGCCATGACCTCCTCCAGGGGATCTTCCCAACCCAGGGGTTGAACCCAGATCTCCCGCATTGTCTTACATAGGAGTTTGGCGTACTGCTCAGTAAACAGTTTCTACATTTCACTCGGTTCCAAACTCCACTCAGCCCACACTTCGTCCCTTGGGAGGAATCTTGGGCTCTTAAAAGACTGCAAATGCCTTGCACTATGATACATTTGGAACTCCCGCCTGCCTCCTTTAAACCTCTGGAGTAGCCCTCCTGCCAGCCTCTCAAGAAGCTCAGTACTGATTGGGTACTGCTGCGTCCAATGGGAAGCGGCGACATTGAGTGTAGTTAAGGTTCGGGCGGGACTGCGCCGTGGCGGTTGCTGGGAAACCGCGCGGACACCAGACAGACCTACTGGTGTTTGGGTTTTCCGCTGGAAGTTGTAAGCCGCCCGAACGGGAGAGGGAGTTTAGTCTGCCGAGATGGTAAGCATGCCGAAACTACTCGGTTGTCAATTGATTTAATTCTAGTTTAGAGCCAGCCTACTTCTAAAAAAGGATTTGAAGTGCCTATCTGAGAATTAAATGGGAAAATCGTACCTCAGAGACCTCAGGTGCTGCTATTTAAGCGACGCGCGTGCTGGCTGACCCCCGCCCCGCCCCTCATTTGATCTGCCCGGCAAAAAATTATTGCTTCCCACGTTTCTGGAAATTTGGGAGATGTTTAAGAACTGCTGAACAAATGAGTGGAAATGAAGCTCCAGGAGAGAGCGCATGAATAAATAGCGGGTTGACTTATTTAATGTGCATTACAGAAACGTGAACGGCTTTTGAACCGCACTTCACGGCCAAGGGGGAAGGAGTAGAGGATGGACTGAGGAGGTATTCCCTGCGTAGTGGTAAAGAACTGGGTATATAGAACTCAGCTGCGCGTCTTAGAACTCTAATACGGCTGTTTATTGGCTGAGGAAACTTGAGTCAAGTTGCTTTAGCTTTCTATGCCTCATCTATAAGATGGGGAACACAAATAGTACCTGCTTCATTGATACATCTTAAAAAAATTTTTTTTAATCTACCACATTGCTTTTTTGTTATGTCTCTGAATTTGGAGAGGAGCCAAACTCCTTTCGTTTATTACAGTTTCATTTGTTTCTGGGGCTACATCAATGTATTTTTACAAATTAGATCCTGGAATACCAAAGTATGCTTTTTTGTTTGTTTGTTTTCCCTTCTCCTTTTTAGGCTTCCAAAAGGAGAACTTTGAGCTTCAGTGAAAGGCATCAGAATTTAGTAGATATAAACTATTGCAAAAAATTGCATGTCGAGGCACTACAAAGGCTACAGAATCAAACCAGGGACCGAATGGTGCAGAGTGAGAATGATGACAGGGCTGAGCGCAAAAGGTTCCTCAGATTATTACAGGATGAACAATTTGAGTTGGATATGGAAGAGGCCATTCAAAAGGTAAGTTTTACTATTAATTCTTACATCATTTTCCTGTTCGTTTTCTCTTTGGAAACAATGAAAGCCAACTGTTAATACTGGAATGGAGCAGATAGGATAAGCATCAGGCAAAGGATGCCTCCCTGTGAGTCAGCTCAGTGTAGTGGTAAAAAGCTGGGGTTTTGGAGCTAGACTGTGTACTTTTGAGTCCTGGTACTGGATATGTTAGCTATGGAACCTTGAGTAAGTTGCTTTTACTTTGTCTGCCTCATTGAGAAAATAAGAATAATAATAGTACCTACGTCATAGGATTGTTTTAATAATCAGTTAGTACTGTTTTAATAATTAATGTTGGCAAAGCTCTTAGAATAATGCCTGGAAGAGTAAGCCCTCAGGGTTTTTTTTTCCCCTAAATATGAAATCTCTAATTACTGACTTCCATGGTTTAAGTGTAGTTCTGTTGCCTTCCATAAAATTCTAAAGACAAAAACTTAAGAACACCTGTTTTGAATTTACAGATATTAAACATTATTTTAAGTGGTAGAAAATGAACACTTATATATTAGCTATGAATTTACTTTGTCTGGAACTTCCCTGGCAGTCCAGTGATTTAGACTCCATGCCCCCAATGTAGGGGACATGGGTTTGATCCCTGGTTGGGGAACTAGGATGCCACAAAATGCTGCAAAAAAAAAAAAAGAAAAAAAAAAGAATTAGGGTGTAATACATGAGTATGTAACTGCTAAAGTTTGGAGACAGCTTTTGAGTGGAAATTTCTGAATATTTTAAGGGATGAGGGAGGTAGAAAAAGGGAAACCAACAAGAAAAGAAAGGAGTTCTTATAAATGTGAAAAAGGTATCTGATATTTATGTATTCTTTTAGTGTCTGCTGTATGGTCAACATTTTGTAAGATATAGGGAATGGCAAAAACAAGTTTTAAAAGTGGTATTCATCCTTCTGAGTTTCAAATTTCAGAAGCTTAGACATGACTTTTTAACCCTGGGCAAGAATATTCTTAGGGATTAGATTTTTTCCCCCGTTCTTTTTATCCTTATTTTTTCTTTAGTTTTTAAGAAAATCCCAGGTATTGTATCAAGTCTCTCTTGCCTACTTCAGTATACATCTTATAAAATACGGATTTTTTAAACATAGCAGCATAATGCCACTATCTTACCTAATAAAATTATCAATAAATAAATTCTAGGCATCATTTAATACCATTCCATAGTCAAATTTCTGTGATTGTGTTAAAAGACAGATTTTACAGCTCAATCAAGATCCAAACAAGGTTGATACAGTGTATTTGGTTATGTCAGATCCCTCTTACTCTAAAACAGCCCTTCCCTTGTACTTGTACTTTATTTATTTAACTTCATGTTTTTAACTTGTTTTTAACATGTGTTTAACTTGCTCAGTCAGTTGTTTAATAGGATATCCCACTTTCTGTATTTATTTGTTTGCTTTCTCAGTAGTTCCTTTACTTTGTTCCTCTATCTCTTATATTTCCTTTAAATGAAAGTTAGCCCTAAAAGACATGATTAGATTTCAGTTCAGTTGCTCAGTCATGTCCGACTGTTTGCGACCCCATGGACTGTAGCACACCAGGCTTCCCTGTCCATCACCAACTCAGGGAGCTTGCTCAAACTCATATCAACCATCTCATAATAGATTTATGTACAACGTTTTGGCCGTCACTCCATGGCAGTGCTATCCATGATATTGTAATCCACTAGCTGGTGCTAATGTTGATCAGTGTTATTTAGAGAGACAGTCTGGTTCCTCTGTTGTAAAGATCCCCACCAAACTTGAATCTGTGGTTTCACCAATGAATCTTTTTTCTTTATTAGGGGTTGCGAAACACTGGTTTTTAAATTTTGTTGTTTAAAAACAACAACAAAGGGTAATTTGGTACCCTGAAATACAGTTTTTACTGGAAAGGGAGATCAATAGTTAATTATCAGAGTAAGAATTGGTGTCCTAGTTACTTCCATTGGTGTATGCCTGTGTTGTTTTTTAAAATTTTGTTTTCTTTAGCTTTGGACTTTTTCTCTTTTTAAAATTATCTCTATGGACTCGTGGGTCTTTAATTAATTTAATTTACTACTTAATTAATTAATTTGATTTAATTAATAATTTAATTAACTTAATACTTGAATTAATTGTATTTATTATTCATTTTCATGCTCAAATTGTCCTACCTTTGGCCAGTGGATGCCTTTTTGTTGCTCTGTGTCCTTTTGACAAGACTTCTGTAATCTGTGGTAGCTTCCTTGATTTTCGTCAGAACAAAATATTACAGCCTAGGGACGGTTAATTTTATGTGTCAACTGGACTGGGCCATGTGGTGCCCAGATATTTGGTCAAACATTATTTTGGGTGTTTTTAGATGAGATTAGCATTTAAATTAGTAAATTGGGTAAAGCAGATTTTCCCCCTAGTGTGGGTGAGCTTCATCCAATCAGTGAAGGCCTGAATAGAACAAAAAAGCCAAGTGAGAGGAAACGGCTCCTCCCTGATTGCCTTCCAGCTGGATTATTAACATTTTTCCTGTCTTCAGCTTGGACTGAAATATCCGCTCAAGTCTCAAGCCTAAAATCCTTCTGACAGGAGCTACACCACTGGCTGTCTGGCCTTTGAACTTAGACTAGAACTAAACCAACTGGCTGTCCTCATCCAGCTTTCCAACTCACCCTGTAGATCTTGGGACTTGCTCATTTCCAAAACTGCTTGATCTGATTCCCTATTATATTGTTTCTGTTTCTCTGGAAAGCTAATACAAGGATCATCTTATAAATTTTTTTATTTACTCCTGGAATTGGCCATTGTACTAAGGAATTCTATTATTTTTTAGTGGAAATAATATTTAGAGACAAGTTGGGTTTAGATGTGCTTATTATTCTTGGGTATTAGATATGCTTATTATTGTATTGGTTCCAGGTCTTTTCAGCAGACAGAACTTGGAAATAGGTATATTTTTAACTTTCTGAGAAAAAGTTAGGCTTATGGAATAGTTGCAAAAATAGTATTAAAAAATCCTGTATCCCCTTAACCTGAGCTCCCTTTATGTTAATGTCTAACATAATCATAGAACAATTACCAAAATGAAGAAATTAGCGTTGGCACAATACTGTTAACTGAATTGTGAGATTTCATCAGTTTTTCCACTGACATCTTTTTTGTGTTCCAAGATCACAAGTTTCATTTAGTTGTCAGGTCTCTTTAGTCTCCATCAATCTTAGTCTCCTCCATTCTATGAGAATTTCTCCCTTTTTCTTGCCTTTCCTGACCTTGACTATTTTGAATATTATATTTTTTTGTTACGTTAGTTTTTCTGTTGCTGTGTATCAAATTACCACACATTTCGCAGCTTAAAACAACACCCATTTGTCACCTCACAATTTCTGTTGGTCAGAAGTCCAGACGTGGTGTAGCTGGATTGTCTGCTTGGTCTCACAAGGCTAAAATCAAGGTGTTGCCTGGGATGCATTCTCATATGGAACTTGGGGCCTCTTCTCAGCTCACTTACTCAGCAGAGTTCGTGTTCTTGTAGATGTAAGACTGAAGTTTTCATCTCCCAGAGGTTGCTGACATTCCCTGCCACTTGACCCTTCTCTACACATGAAGTTTACTTGCTTTCTGGCACCAGAAGGTGTTCCAGACTCAGCTTATTCTTTCCTTGCCTTGGAATCATCCAGTTCTCTAAGGAGACTTGGTTCCTTTCATTGGAGAATGATATTTAGAAACCAAAGTCTGAATGATAGATGTGCTCCTTATTAGTGTAACACTCTAAGGGGAAAGAACTAGAAAATAACCATGCACACACATCTGTGTTTACATTTATGTCTGTATCTATCTGCATGTATTTATTAATAAAACAAGCCATGAATCTGTGTTGGTACTGCTGACTCCAGTCTCCCTCTACAGGGGTCACTTTCGTCTTTCCCCTTTCGTTATTTATTTGTAATTGCATTCTCCCCACAAAAAGAAATCTGGCTATCATTATCTCATTTACTTATTCTTTCAACTCCAGAATACAGGTAGTTTCAGAATTGCTAACCTGCACCCTTGTGAACAGCAAATCTACTTACTATATTATAGATTTGGGTACAGTTTTTTGTGTCTTTTGCTTTGTCAAACACTTTTTTACAGTTATTTTGGTCCACTCCTACCTATCTGCTTCATCGTGGTTATTTGATTGATTTTTATTTGTTTTGTGATTGTTTTTTAATACAATTAATTTGTTATAGTCAACATTCATTGTTCTCCCCACATCTGATTGATTTTATTTTTTTTTAATGTTGAACTAGTTACTAATCCTTGGCAAGGTGCAAAGATAGTATGGAGTACCGTCCACTGGCCCCTGGACAGTTTCTTTCATTGATTACATCTTATATAATTGTACTACAGTAGAAAATCCTGGAAAGTGGCATTGCTGCATTATGCTTATGTACTTGTGTGTCATTTTATCAAAGGTATACATTTACGCAACCACCACCTCATTCAAGAAACAGAGCTAAAAAAAAAAAAGAAACAGAGCTATTCCATCCCCATTAAGACCTCATTCGTGATACCCCATTATCGTCACACTCTTCCTTCAATCCCTATTATGCCAGCAATCGCTAATTTGTTCTCCATCTTTATAATTTTGTTATTTCAAGAATGTTATTAAAAAAATGTTGTGTAAACAGCCGTGTGTGATTACATATATATATATGGAATCATATGTCTGTCACTTTTGAATAGGCTGTTTTTATTCCACATGATGCTCTTGAGATTCATTTTTTAAAATATTTATTTTTGATGATTGGTTTACAGTATTGATTTGATTTATCATACTATTAATCATTGGTATACATATGTCCCCTCCCTCCTGAGTCTCCCTCCCATCTCCCACCCATTCCCACCCCTTAGGCTATTACAGAGCCGTTTGAGTTGCCCTGAGCCATACAGCGAATTCCTGTTGGCTACCTATTTACATGTTAGTGTATATGAATCCATGCTACTCTCTCCATTTATCTAA